TAAAAATCTTAAAAAAAAGGCAAATTATATACTATACAAATTATTATACTATTCTCTTCACTTTTGTGAATGTTTAAACATTTCTACAATAAAGTTGGAAAAAATAAGGCAACATTACCTGGCAGAGATCATTCATTTACTTATTTGTGCCCTTTAAATTCTGAATTAACATTGAACAGTTTATTGAGCTTCTATTATGTGCCAAGCACTGAGTTGGCTTTATTAGCTGCAGCACTGAGTTTGCTTTACAACAGTGAATCAGAGTCTCTGTGGGAGAGGCCTGGACATTTTATAATGTGTTCAGCAGATTTTGGTGTGCAGCCAGGGTGGAGAACCACTGCCCTGAGGGACATATGTACAGAAAGGATAAAAAGAGCACATGGGTAGGCTGAGGTCTAGGTCAAACTCTCACCTCCAATATCTGTGAGATGTTGAGAACCTCACTTGCATCTTTGGCTTTCAAGTTGGACTTCCTTTTGGAAAATGAGAAAATTGGACTTGATGGTCTCTGAGGTCCTTCCTATCACCCCTCAGCCTCTTGGTCTGAACCAAAAGGTAAGTCCCTTTCAACTCCAATATTCTGTGACTGTACAAAAAAATTTATGGCAAGAACAACATGGAGACTTTCTGGGAGGCCCTGAAATCAACACCGATTAGGCCAACCCTCCCATCCTCCACACCTACTCTTTTACGCATCAGTCTCAGCGTTAAAGCAACTTAATAAAAGATGGTGGAGACACCAAGGCCTGTTCCTGGCTGTAAAAGATGCATTAGTCCCTGTAATGACCCATCTTCCCCAGACCACTTCCTCTATCTAGACATTTATGGGACCGTGAATCAAGAGTTGCTCAGGCAGGCAGAAAGGCCAGTGCCTGGTGGATAATGGGTGTGTCGAGAAGGCATCTTTGTGAAATGCTAGCTCTGGCAAGTAGCTCAACATGCTGAGAGGGTTCTGAGTCCCAGCCAAGAAGAGGCCTCTGCAGACCAGACACCCAGAGGCTGCAGGAGGAAAACGTCCTTATCCACTTTGTTCTGCCCAGGTCATAGTGTGGCATAAGAGGGACACACATTCCCGCTCTTCACTGGCCAGTAATAATGCAGGAAGTATTTTGAATTCACCCTTTTGGCCAAAACAGAAGACTATTCAGAGAAGATGGAATACATTTTATTTTTCATGATAGGTCTATTCTGAACACATTATGTTCAAGTCAACTGTATGAAAATAGAATCCTTTCTTTTTTAATTGAAGTGGCATCTAACAATTTCAATTTCAATTTCTCTGCATCTGAATCTACTAGTTGGTAATATAGAAACCAACATTCAAATCCATGGAAGCAAATCCTTTTGTAAAGGACTAGATTAAATAATTTGAAGAGGAATCATGACTTTTAAATATTTGTGGTGGGAGACTTTACAAAATCCTTGTTATTCCCGTAAGATTCAACTTTCAGTTCATATAAATTCAGTCTCAAATGGGGAACCCGCAAGTCACTATTCCCATAACTATATTGGGAAGATGGGAGTACAGGAAGTGTGCCTGTGAGTGGTGGATCTGTGTTGAAAAGGCACTGTATGCTTATCTACCAAAAGGAAAGGCCAATAGATAAGGCTTAAAACCAAACAAACTAAAAAGTAGCAATATACCCAGAAATAAACCTATTTATATATGCTCAGTTAATTTATAACAGAGGAGCTAGAATGTACAATGGAGAAAGGACGGTCTCTTCAATAAATGGTGTTGGGCAAATCAGACAGCCACATGTAAAAGAATGAAACTGGACCACTATTTTATATCATAAACAAAAATGAACTTAAAATGGATTACAGACTTGAATGTAAGACCTGAAACCATAAAACTCCAAGAAGAAAACATAGGTGGCAAGCTCTTTGACATACAACTTGACAATGTTTTTTTGTTTTTAAATCTGACACCAAAAGCAAAAACAACAAAAGCAAAAACAAAGGGGGCTACATCAAACTGAAAAGCATCAGCAGAGCAGAGGAAACCATCAGCAAAATGAAAAGGCAACCTACTGAATTGGAGAAATTGCAAATCATATATTTGATAAGGGGATAATATCCAAGACATACAAAGAACTCATACAATTCAATAGCAAAAAACAAACAATCTGATTAAAAAACAGACAGAAGATTTGAGTAGATGTTTTCCAAAGAAGATGTACAGATGTCCAACAGCTACGTGAAAAGATGCTCAACATCAGCAATCATCAGGGAAATGCAAATCAAAATCACAATGAGATATCGCCTCACACCTGTCAGAATGGCTATCATCAAAAAGAAAAGAAATAACAGGTGTTGGCGAGGATGTGGAGAAAGGGAACCCTTGTGTACTGTTGGTGGGAATGTAAATTGGTACAGCTACTATGAAAAACAGTAAGGAGTTCCCTAAAAAAATAAAAAATAAAAAATAAGAAAAGCATTGCCATATGACCCAGCAACCCGTCTTCTGGGTATGTACCCGAAAAATTTGAAAACACTTATTCATAAAGATATATGTACCCCTATGTTTATTGCAGCACTGTTAAAATAGTCAAGACATGGAAACAATTTAAGTGTCTTTCAATGGATGATTGAATAAAGAAGATGTGGTAAATATATACAATGGAATACAACTCAGCCATAAAAAAGATGAAATATTGTCATTTGTGACAACATGGATAGATCTTGAGAGTATTATGCTAAATAAAATAAGTCAGACAGAAAAGGACAAGAACCATATGATTTCACTCAAATGTGGGATATAAAACACAAAGCAACAAATGAACAACCAAGACAAACAAACAAAATGAATTCATAGGTACAGACAACAGGATGGTGGTTACCAGAGAGAAAGGAAGGTGGAGGGAGGACGAAGAGGGTTAAGAGGGTCAAATATATGGTGATGGATGGAGACTAGATTTCAGGTTGGTGCACACACAATTGAGTACACAGATGTCATATTATAAAATTGTACAGCTGAAATTTCTATAATGTTATTATCCAATGTTATTCCAATAAATTTTATAAAACAAGTTCCAGAATGGTATAGGTAGTATGATATCATTTACATAATATGCAATATTTTTAGAACATGTTTTTAAAATATATAATTTCAAATGAATACGTCAAGAAATGAATGATTGGGAGCAAGAAAATGAAGACAAGCACGGACAGCCCTTTTGAGAAGTTTTGCTGTGAAGGGCTTCGAAGAGATTGCAAAAGCTGGAGGAACAGAGTCTGAGAAGGGCTATAGTTTTTGTTTTTGTTTTTAATGGACAACGCTAGAATTTGTTTGCCTGCATATGGGAATGAACCAATAGAGAGACTTAAAATAAGCATTTATAAAGAGCAACATCCTTCAGAAGGTGAATCTGGGCTGCAAAGCACCAAAGATGGACGCTCCGGTATTTTCAAAGAGAAACGGTGTTTGAACTGTGGCTGTGGGGTGAAATGTAGATAAATTTGTAGGTGTTTAGGAAGTAGACGCTTCAAGAAGTGATGCTAATTGGATAAGTGAGAAGGTGGGTGACACGACAAAGGAGTGTCTGGTTTGATTCAAAGGCAAGACAAGAGGACCTCTGTACAATGATGAACGCTGTGCTCTCTGAAGGTGGTGGGCCATGCTGCTGTCACTCCTAATGAATGAACTTCTAATCTGCTCTGGGGAGAGTCCCAATAATCCACCTTGTATATGAACTAAAAATAAAGTGAATTCTACAACCAGTACCACACACTCACTTCTCTGCCGAGCTGAAGGCTCCCTCTGGGCAGTGATTTATTTTTGCTTGTACCCTCTGCTCCAGGGCCTCTCACATAACGATGTTAGTCTGCTCTCGGAAATGCAAACTGTGCTGCTCGGCCTGGGCCTGGGCCTGGGCCTGGGCCTGGCTGGGCTGCTTACTAGTACTGTGATCTTCTAGAACCAGCCATAGAACCCCCGGTCTCAGTTTTCTCCCTCACAGGGTGGTTAACTGCGATTAGGATATTGCATGTGAAAGAGTCTGTGAGGCTCGGGTTAAGCCTTCCCTTGTGGACACCAGTAGCCGAATTTCTCCTGGCAGCCCCTCCCCTCAAGCGCACCAGGGCCCCAGGTCTAGCTGCTTCCCCCTCTACCTCTCTCCTGTCACCACCACCCTGCTCTCCACACACACCCTCGATTTTTCTTCTTCCCTGCATGGCTCCAGGTCTCCCACCAGGGTCTGCGGTTAGACATCCTCCCCAGGGCGGGGGCTCCGTCTGGGGAGCTGCTTCACCAGCCACCCCTGCAGACTTTGGACCCTTCGCGGGCCTAGGAGAGCCAGGGGCAGGCGGCGAGCCCAACCGCACTGCTGTACGCAGGATGTCGTGGGGATGGGTGACTGCCACCTCACCCTCGGGGGCGCACCTGTCTTGAGAGACAGTTCGACGGCTCCAGGGTACGGCGTAGATGAGTTTGTCTATCTGTTTGCAGGTCTGTGGGTCCCGCAGGCTGGTGAGCGCTGCGTGGTCCACTGTCGCTCCCTGTCCCAGGTCCCCCGCCCCTCTGCTCCTCCCCCCTTACGCTTCCTTGATGGCCCTCCCTTTCCCTCCCTGGCTGGGGGCCTGAGACTCACTCCGCCCTCCTCTGCAGGAGCCAACCCACGCTAAGAGCCGCTGGACTCTGCTGCCAGCCCATAAAACCTGCCCGGCCCGAGCCGCTGCGTTCCCGCGGCCCCCTGTCGCTGCTCACCTGCCGGGAGACGTGGGTCGCCCAAACCGCGCCTCCAAACAGCCTTAGGGGCATCTGCTTTCCGCCTCCAGAAAAGTTTGGAGCAAGTGAATTTGGGGTAGATTTGGGAGTGGCGCCGCTCCCCCAGCTTTCTTTCCCTTCCAGAAGCCTCACCACATCCTCATCCATGCTTCCCCTCCTGACTCCTTGTCCCCCGAGCCCCTCCTTTGCCCCTAGGTTCCCCATCCCCTCTCTGGGGTCAGCACCGTCTTCCTTACCTCATTCTGCCTCCTCCTCCCTATCCCTATCCTCTTAACTATTTCCACCTATTGTATCTGCAGGCTTCTCCCTGTCATCCCCGCAGTTCTCCTTTCTCTCCATCTTACACCTCTCCCTCCCCACTCCAGCCCATCCCTCAAACCTCTCCTTGCAACCACACTCTCCATCCATCCCTCTCCCTCCTCCCTTCCCTCCCAGCAAACTTCTACCATGGATTCTGGGCCTCCTTGGGCTGCCAACCCCATCCCCGGGGGCACCCTCTCTGCCCCCAATGCCACCACACCCTGGCTGGGCCGGGATGAGGAGCTGGCCAAGGTGGAGATCGCGGTCCTGGCCACTGTCCTGGCGCTGGCGACAGGGGGCAACCTGACTGTGCTGCTGATGCTGGGCCAGCAGGGCCGCAAGCGTGCCCGCATGCACCTGTTTGTGCTGCACCTGGCCCTGACTGACCTGGGTGTGGCGCTCTTTCAGGTGCTGCCCCAGCTGCTCTGGGACATCACATACCGCTTCCAGGGCCCTGACCTCCTCTGCCGGGCCGTCAAGTACCTGCAGGTGCTCAGCATGTTCGCCTCCACCTACATGCTGCTGGCCATGACGCTGGACCGCTACCTGGCCGTGTGTTACCCCCTGCGCAGCCTCCAGCAGCCCAGCCAGTCTACCTACCCACTCATCGCTGCCCCCTGGCTGCTGGCCGCCATCCTCGGCCTGCCTCAAGTCTTCATTTTTTCTTTGCGGGAGGTGAGCCAGGGCTCAGGGGTGCTGGACTGCTGGGCAGACTTTCGCTTCCCTTGGGGAGCACGAGCTTACATTACCTGGACCACCCTGGCCATCTTTGTCTTGCCTGTGGCCATGCTCACAGCCTGCTACAGCCTCATCTGTCACGAGATTTGTAAGAACCTAAAAGTCAAGACACAGACCTGGCGAGTCGAAGGAGGGGGCTGGAGGACTTGGGACAGGCCCTCGCCTTCCGCCCCAGCTGCAGCCATGCGGGGACTGCCATCCCGGGTCAGCAGTATCAGCACCATCTCAAGGGCCAAGATCCGAACTGTGAAGATGACCTTTGTCATTGTGCTGGCCTACATCGCCTGCTGGGCACCCTTTTTCAGCGTCCAGATGTGGTCAGTGTGGGACGAGAATGCCCCTGATGAAGGCAAGTGTGTGTGGTCAGGGTAGGGGGTGGGGAGAGTGGGAAAGAGCCCAGAAGGGAGAACAGAAGGATTCGGACAGATTATAGTACTTCCCAGGGCCAGGCAGGTAAGAAATGAGTGAAGCAATTAAGATGGTACCTGTTGGGCAGGCCGAGTGGCTCAGTTGGTTAAGAGCTCGCTCAAGAGTTTGAGCTCTGAGCAATAGCAGTTCAATGCCCAGCCCGAGCTGAGCTGCCAACAGGTGTCAGGATGGCTCAGTTAAAAAAAAAAGAAAAAAGATGGTGCCTGTCCCATGTGAAAAGGGGCAGCTACAACTCCCATCCAGCCGACTGATGCCATGTGAGTAGCTTTTATGTGACAGTTGCACACTTTAAAATTTGATTAACTAATTTAAACATTTTAAAATACTATGTGGCCCTAAAGAAATATGTCTATTGGCAGACTTGGCCAACCAACAGTTAAATGAATCCGAATGATGGAATTGCAGGGAATTTTCAGGTGATCCTGTCCAGGATGGCAATTTGTGGCCCGTGAGCTGTGTCTCTTAGCACGCTTTCCTCCTCCATTGTGAGTCCCTTCTCCTTTCTAAGACTCAGTTTCCTCCTCTGTTCAGGGAGAGCCTGGACTCTTTCCCAGATCCCTCCCAGCTGTCATTCTAAGGCTTCTCGTGCTTCTCTCTCGGCAGATTCAACCAATGTGGCTTTCACCATCTCCATGCTTTTGGGCAACCTCAGCAGCTGCTGCAACCCCTGGATCTACATGGGCTTCAACAGCCACCTGTGGCCGCGCCCCCTGCGTCATCTGGCCTGCTGCGGGGGTCCTCGGCCTGGGATGCGCAGGCAGCTCTCTAATGGCAGCTTCTCCAGCCGCCACACCACGCTGCTGACCCGATCCAGCGTCCCAACCACCCTCAGCCTCAGTGGGAAGCCTGGACCCGAAGAGTCACTGAAGGACTCAGAGCAGGTGGATGGGGAAGGCATCGCTGAGACAGGCATCTTTTAGGGAACACGCCCTGGAGTCTGTTGCTGCTCATGGGACTGTAGGAGGGTGTCTGCTCATCTCAGCGCTGGGCGTAAATGCAGAGAGGGTCAGGGTTGGAGTCAAGGGGAGCCCAGTCTGAGGCAGTGTGAAGAGGCCAGAATGGCTACCCTTGGTGCCTAGCCTGACTTCATTCGCTCCCAATCTCACATGCTTGGAGTCGGGGAGAATCAAACCGTCTGCTCCCTAATCCTGCCACATTCACAGGGTGTCCAGGAACACACCCACATGGTAGATGTGGTGACCACACCTGGAGCAGGCCTAGGACTGCCTTGTCTGGGGGTCCACAGTTAGCTGGAACTCAGAGGCTGGTCTCCTACCTTGGCTACTTGTCCCCTTCCTAACCTGACCAGCACACCCAGCCTAACCAGGAGGGGGAAAAGTGAAAAACTGTAAGGAAGGCCCTATTTGGATCCTGGATTAAAAAAATATATTTTTTGTAAAAGGAGGATTGTTTAATGAAGAAAAGTAAATGGGTCTGAGGGCTTTGCCTGCTCTGCCCATCTGTCTAGTGGAGGGAGATGCAGGATTTAGTACAGCATCAGATAACTAGCAGAAACTCTATAAATTCTATTTCCTCTTCTCCCTATACCACCCCCTTTATAGGGTGGTGATGGGGGCAAAGTGTTGTATATTCTTAGTGTTATGTCCCCCCGGGAGCGATTGTGAGAAGAAAGAGGGTAGGGAAGGAAGGGATGAAATTAGGAATGGAGGAAGCCTCAGAAGCACTGGAAGTGGTTGCTTTCCTTCCTCTCCCCACGGGGTCCAGATCGCCCCTTCCTCTGGGGCTGCATGGAGGAGACAACCTTTTAGAAAGTGTGATGGGATCATGGCTCTGGATTTCCTCCAGGCTCTTCTGAACCTCCACACAAATCATGTGCATTCTGTGATCAAGTCAGGAGCCCAGGATTTGAAACTTGGCTCTGCCTTCAGGTAACTATGACCTTGGGCAAGTCACCTCCCTCTCTGGGCCTCAGTCTCTTCAGCTGTAGAACAGAGATGATTTCTAAGGTCTTTTCCAGCGCTACACTTTCATGAATTTGCAAGACTGGAAATGACATTACAATAGAGAAATACAAAGGGAACTCTGACCAACAGTCTCTAGAAGAATCATTTGGATTTTTATGAAAATTACATTTATACTCTTTGACTCAATTCTGGTGACTGTGGGTCCTGCTATGGCCATACTGCCCGTTTTTGCCCCAATTCTGTGATGCTGGTGGCGGGAGAGACAGCAGGGCAGGTAGAGTCTGGGCTCTGCCCTGAACTATCTCCAGTGGGATTTATATCATGGAGTAGCTTTCCCACCCGAATTTTGATTCTAATCTTAGAGATACCCCTGATGGTGGAAAGAGCATCAGCTAAAGCATCAGGAGAACTGGGTCCTGGTTCCACCACCAATGACCAACATAGGTGAAATGCTTGCTCTCTCGTTATGAGGGTCAAGTAGAACTGGGGATGTATAGGTGGTTTGTAAACCCATGAGCTCTATACTAATGTAAGAAATGGTTAATCTAATTAAGAAGTCCTGAGAGCAGCTCTAAGAAACAGGTTCAATCTGCCCCCCTCTACTAGGGAGGCTTTGAGGAATGACTATGACTTTGGGGATACATGTATTTAAGACTACTCAGCTCTCAGAAGCCTCCTTGGGTTTCCTTAAAAGACAAGAATGAAGCTGAGTGTTGTGAGTGGGCAAAGCATCCCAATCCTTCAGTGCTAGAGAACTAGAAGGTGGGACACAGGCCCCTAGTGGAACCAAGATTCAAGGAAGAGGACCCATGGTCTTTTCACTGTGCTGCATTGCCCACGTCTGTCCCTGACATCCAACCACTTCTTCCCTGTCCATCTGCCTCAGTGGAGCTGGGTTTAGGCGCCTCCCATGCCAGCCTAAGCTGTTAAAGTTGTTCCTTCCTCTGCTTACATGACCCACCTCCCCGCTTCAGACCACAGCTCCTGACCCTAATGCCCATAGCAGGTACTAGGTAAGTCTTTGCTCATCGTGAAGAATGGGAAAGAGACAGGATACCAACCTTGTGCCCCAAAGCTATGGGTTTGATTGTTGATCTTACCCCTTTTCTACCGGTATGAACTTGGGCAAGTTATCCAATCTCTCTGAGCAACAGTTTCTTCATTTGTTAAATAGAAACAACTATGCCACCACGTTGGAGGAATTTGGAAGACTGTAAACAATAGAATACTCTACTGCTGTTAGAGAAGATAATGGTGGCCTGGCTCTGGCTGCATCTGGTGGGTGACTTCTAGGGCACTGGGCTCAGGAGACTCTACAGTTCAGAGAAGAGAGGAGACCTGGATTCGAGGTTGGCCAGAGCACCTTCCATGTCTCCCCTTCGCCTTCTACAGCAAATAATACCACTATTATATTCTCAGTTTGGCATCGCACAAGGGGGATCTACTTGTTGTGGGCTTGGGAGCCCTCACTGTTCCTTCTATGGAAAGGCTGCATTTGATCTTTTTCAGAAAGCTGGTGCTGCCCTATGAAAAGGCCAGAGGGGAGCAACAGGACACTCCTGCAGAAAATGGCAGGATCTTGTCTGGATCTACGAATGACAGCTTTTGCACGATGTGTAGGAAGCTCTCACAGACATTCTGGGACAGCACAAGGGCCTTGGATAGGGTTCAGAGAGAGGGGCCCCTGTGGGAAGCAAGAAGGCTCTGTGCTGTCTGGGTCAGTCTCATTTCCGACAGCTAACCCCAGGAAGCTAACTCTCTGTGAAATCCAGCACTTCGGTCCCTTAGAACCCACTTGGGAGCATGGGGTGAGGGGGCAGGCAGGGCAGAGGATGGCAAGAGGAGGTTAACTGGTTGGCTTTGAGGGTTTCTCAGAATGGCTGTTCATGTTTTGATATAGGCCAGTCATTTTCCAGATGATTCTGTGTTTTGTGTGTAAATAGGTCTTGTATTTATCAAGGGGCTATTATAGATTCATCCTGGGCTGTGGCAGCTCACTCCTGGGTCAGGAACCCAGAGATCTGGTTGAAATTAACCAATAAAATTCCTTAATAACCAGGAAGTTTCTGGGAATCTTTGTTTCCTAGGGGCAATGATAATGGAATAGGCAAGCTAAAATAAAATTTCGATCTCTTTAAGCAGGGAAGGGGCAGGCGCAGGGGGAAGGTTGAGGTAATGGGGAGTCACCTTCCGGGCGCCTCGCTTCGTGCAGTTTAAGCTGGAGAAGGCAACAAGAGTGTTTTGCGATTTTCCCTGGAGCCACACAGTGGCAGTGTGGAGCTGAAAGTGGGTCTGAAGCAATAAAAACCCACAGGGGCAGGCTGGGAAAATCACCCAGCTTCCCAGCTCTAAGGCTGTACTAACTTTCGGTAAAATTCTAGAGTCTTGGCCTCTCATTTGACCCAGTTCTCCTGAGATACCTGGACACGTGCTTTTTGTCTTGCTAAGCTCACAGAGGATGTACTCGACAAGGAAGGACAAAGAACAAAAGTTTTCTACTGCAGGTGAAAAACTGAGTGTAGAAATTCCTGTCTAAAAGGGTGAGTGAGGGAGCTAGCGGGACCTCAAAAAAACAAAACAAAATAAAACAAAAAACAACCTAGATGAGATGGAGTTATTATAATGTGTTCAGTTTAGAGGCTGGGGGGTTGGGTTAGAAGGCCTCTGTCCCAGGAGTAAAAAGCTCACTGATGTTAGTCATAAAATACCCCCTCAACCTAGTGGGTCTTGTTGACTAATAAGACAGTATCCCTCATGGAATTCTGCTGAATTTCAATGGTGGGCATTAGGTGCTTGCTTCTTTAGAATAAGAATTCATTACAGACAGGTCACATTTATTCTGCATATTCCCAGTTCATTATTGGCATTTAATCAACCATCTACTGGTTGCCAGTAGGATATCAGTTTCTCTGTATCTTGTTATAAGATAGTTTTGGAGGGGTTTTCATCCAGTTCTCACCCACAGAGGAATTCAGAGTGGGGCAGCACAATTGTCCCCTGGAAGTTCTGATGACATACAACATGGGAGAAAGTGACTTCATTGTACTAGAAACTATACTCCTGAAAGGGTGAGTACTCATACAGGCCACCATTCATACAGATTTAAGCAGCTAACCCTCTAACCTCACAGAGTTATCACAAACAAAAGGCCATTTTATTTCTAGCAACATGGCCGGCAATGACTTTGAGGATCAATTCAAATCGTTAGCTGGCCCCAATCATCAGCTTATTGACCCAAACTCCTTAGGACATGAAACCAGCCCTCCACTTTACTTATCAGGGCATCTGAGAAGTCATCTGCACTATTGACAGTCAATCAAATCTCTGTCACTTGTAGTCACACTTAGCTCAATTCTTAAACAGCACTCTCCAAGGATGCCTCCTCCTTATAAGCAGTCAGGGTGGATGCTAATGTTAACCTCCATGATATATTTATTTGCTATCAAATGTCATACCTTTAAGCCAATCATAGCAGAGTTCATTATAGACCTTAATTAGATGGTCACTTGCATTCAGGTCTCTGTTCTCTCTGACACCAACTCCCTGCTCCAGAGTAGCATCACTCCCTCTGAGCCACAGACATTTCTCCACGCAGTTCTGAGGCCTGCGTCCAGTCAGGCCTGCTCCCGTTCCTTCTGTCTCTTCTCCCATCAATCGATTTTCTGCCATTCTTTCTAAACTGAGGTCACAAACTCCCCTCTGGGATGTTTTCTCTGATTAGATCCACCTGATCCTAACTTCCTTGTGCCCAGTTTGCCTAAACTTTAATAGGCTCTGGTTTGATTGCTCGGTGTTAATTCCTCCATTGTCACATGTTGTCTTGCACATGTTCTTGCCTGTCCTCACAACTAGGACATGCATGCTTTGACCCCACCCACCCAGATGCTCAAGCCTTCTTTTTATTTTTTTTATTTTTTTATTTTTAGTTTTTTAGCTGAGCCATCCTGCCACCTGTTGGCAGCTCAGCGGCAACTCAGCTCGGGCCGGGACTCGAACCGCTGTTGCTCAGAGCTCACATTCTTGAACGAGCTCTTAAACAACCGAGCCATTTGGCCGGCCCTCAAGCTTTTTTTTTTTTTTTTTTTAAGATTTTTATTGGGGAATTGGGGGGATGAGAACAGTGCTGGGGAATGGGGGAAGGGGAACAGACAAGTTGCTGTCGTTTTGTTCTTCAATCTAGTTGTGGAGGACGTTGCTTCACTGGCCCAAGTTGGCACCATCATTGCGCTCTTCCCGGGCCAGGCAGATCAGTCGCCAGCTTCTGGACGGCCACCCACCCACCGTGGCTGCTGGCCGCTCACGCTGGCTGCTGGCCACACTCGGTAGCCCATGGCAACCCACTGCCACAAGGGCTGCAGCCTAGCTATAGCCGGCGACTCATGGCAGCCCAGCTCCAGGTTGAGCTGTTGTTCAGCATCTTAGCTGTAGAGAGCAGTGTCACTGGCCCTCATTTGTGGGATCCGAACCGGGGCCCTCTGGTGTCCCAAGCCAGCTCTTAACCATCGTGCCACTCGGCTGGCCCTCAAGCTTTCTTTTCATATATGCTCCTCCCAACTCCCAGGGCCCATCCAGAATTTTGCAGAGAGCAGGCGTTCTGTCTGGGCTACTGCAGTTGTCCACTGTCCTGGTGTGGGAACTGTCTCGGCAGTGTCCCTAGGCAGTTTCTCTTGGGTGCACTGTGACATATCTGAACCCCTTCAGTATAATCTTGATTTTTTTTTTCGTCTCAAAAGAGATCAGTAAGAAGTAGAGTTTTACTTCTGGATGCAAAGATAGTGTCATCGTTAGTGTCTATTCCTCTTTCTGCCTTTCTAATCAATAGAATCTCTTTTTCCCCATTAAGAAAAGCAATCTAAGGAGATGTCTGAGTCCATTACAGCCGACATACCAAAATACCACAGACTGGGTGGCTTATAAACAACCAGAATTTCTTTCTCACAGATTTGGAGGCTGGAAGTCCAAAATTGGGGTGCCACCATGGTTGGTGAGGGCCCTTTTATGGGTTGCAGACTTATTGTACCCTCACAAGATGAAACGGGCTAGGGAGCTCTGTGGGGTCTTTTTTAAAAGAGCCCTAATCTCATTCATAAAGACACCACCCTGATGACCTAATCACCTCCCAAAGGCCCCACTTGCTAATAGCTTCACCTTGGCAGTTAGGATTTCAACGTGTGAATTTGGGGTGAGGGCACAAACATTCAAATCATAGCAGGAGAGAAACAACAATGGTGGATAAAAGGTGGAGGGACACGTAGACCAGCAAAAACTTACCGCCCCAGAAACCAAACCAGGACCATTTATTCAGATCTTGGGGAAGAGGAACTTGGGATTATGAAAACTGACTGCTGCACCCAGTACCAGGGCTAGAAAGCTGATTTACAGCCAGAAGACAGAGCAATTTCATAAATTGTCTCTAAGATCCAAATGCCACTCATCTGGTCTGAATGTGGCTAGGAGTACTCCTAGCATTTCCATTTTTTGAGATGTTTAGGTATCGTGGCAATTTTTGTTTTCATTTGATGTCTTAATTAGCTGTTGGAGAAAGTATATTATATAGTTCTCTAGTCTCAGCTTACTGTTCACTGCTCAATTTTTAAATATTTTAAGTTAACTCTATGAGGTTTCCTAGGACTAGGATATCTGCAAACAATGACAAATTTTATCCTCCTTTCCAATAGTTATAGCCCTTATTTTTGTTAACTGTTTTTTTGTACTGCTTAGAGCCTCTAGAGCAATGTTAGATAATGAAGGAAATAGCGGGCTGTGGACAGTCTTACTTTGTTGATGATTTAATAGGACTGCATCCAGGACCTTACAGTTAAATACCGTGCAATCTGCTGATCTGAGGTAAGCTAGTCTTAATCAAATTAAGAAAGTGTCCTTTTATTCTTAATTGGTTAAAAAAGAAACAACAAACCAGGAATGAGTATTGCATTTTATTGAATTAAATTTGGAAAGATTTTTCTTGTAATAACAGATTGTGATGCTGGTTGGTATTTACCAGGACTATCTGTCATCTTTTGTTCATAAGAAACATTGAATTCAAAGGTTGAATGATGGTGGGTGTTCTAAGTGTATTATTTATAGTTCTGAGGGCAAAGCATGATTACTCAGCAAGACAGGGCGGTGAAAAGGGGACATATGCACGGTTAGGCAAGAGGAAAAGAGGAACTGGTGGTTGCTTTTTATTTAAAACTTTTAAGCAAGTTGTTTATTGCCAATAATTACAGAGCTCAAAGAGTTATTTAATCATAAGATTGACAAACAGATTTCTACTATAGCTGATTTAAATCTTTAAAAAATTTTCTATGAAGACTTCACCACTTTCTCTGCTGATATGCTCCAGTGTTTTCGTATTTAACCTGGAAGTTCTTCCTAACATCTCATCTGAATCTTTCTTGCTGAGATACAAGCCTGTTTTTTTCTCTCATGTCTTGTTAAATAAGTACAAGAATTCATAGAGAACTTTACCCCATTTAAAAAAAAAGAAACCTAGAATTCACATGGCCACTTGAGTGTATTCCACTGGCTCAAAGACAGCAGGGTTCACAGAAGTCCACAAATTGTGCTTCTGGCTTTTTGGATTGATATTGACATAATCTGTGGATTCCTTTACATTCTCATAGTCTGGGGCAGATTCAGTTTTTCGTCTTCCAGTGGCTGGAAAGACCACTTGTGTATAATTCACATCTTTGGTGGCCTTCAGGAAAAAGAACAGAGAAATGTAGGTGAACATTCCTACCATGTCCATGGTTGGAGGAGGTAGGGCCTCAGGACTGGACTCTCACTCGAAGAGGCTGGCCCTAGGCTGGCTGGGAAGGAATCTAGGTCCCAGGTAGCCATGTCTGAGAGCACGGCCAGGCAGTGAGGAGGCTTACCAGGGGCTTTGTTCCTCCTATCTTTAGAGAATGAATGGGTTTAAGGAAGAAAGCTGTAGAGAATCAATGCAAATGAGGTCATGACTGAGAGCAGTGGCCCAGTGACTGGGATATGGAGAGAAGGAGGCTTCCCATTAGCACTTCCATTTTTACAGCCCACTCAGACCCACTTTATTTGGATGATCTATGCTGATATGGGGCTGTGAGTGAAAGCCTAAGGATGCTGTAAGGATTCAAGAAGCCCCTCCTCCCTTGCTCCCATCTCTGTAGCCAGGATGACTTGAATTCTCGGGGTTTTACTGCAGGGACCCCAGGCTGCATGTGTAGGGCTGGGATCACTAGGCGTGTCCATTACCTGGTAGGTGGGAGGTGAGCTGCTGGAATTGTCCGAGGTGTCTGAGCTATCTGAGGACGTATCGCCATCATCTGGGGAGAAATACAAAACTGTTCTTCTTCTAAAGAAAGCTGCAGGGTGTTAGGAGAGGATAGAGCCAATGAAAGCGAGGATGAGGCAAAAACAGAGGCAGAGCCAGCGACACAAAGAGAAGTGAGGAACAGAGATACAGAGCCCCTTAAGGGAAGACAGGGATAGAACAGAGAGAGGGTGGTGGAAGAGAAAGCCTCCAAAGATAGGCAGAAGCATGGCCAAGAGTCTAGGCATTGCTATTTTGTCCAGCTCCATCTGAAACTAATAACAAACACACTAGGCTTGCCTGTGCTTGGGAGGAAGAAACAGGGACATACTGAGACAATGTGGCCCAATGCAAACAGCTCTGGCCTCAGAGTCACGGGCACAGATTGTAGTCTAAACCTGTCACTAACTGTAGGCAGGTTACATACTTTTTTGTGCCCTGGTTTTGTCCCCTGTAAAATAAGAGGATTGGACAATAATCTCTGAGCTCCCTGACAACCAAAGGGTCTCTGATTCTGACCAGTCTCTGGTGAAGCTTTGGGGTCAGGGGTCCTAATAAAGCTAGTGCTTCTCTCATTCCGCTGAAGCACTGAATTCGTGTGAGCGGCATCTTGTGGTTCCCACATGCCCTGAGGCCTTATCTCAGTGCTGAGGAAGCCCGACAACCAGATCTTTTCAACTCAAAAGATAAAATTAGGAGGATGGGACCAACCCAAGTCAATCAAGAGATAAACCAATGGAAAAAGTAAGATCTTTGGTGAGTGCATCTTCACGAGTAGTTGTCTTGCTGCAGAAGCAATAATTCCATTGTGTGACTAGTGACCTGGTGCGTCTCCCAAGTCCTGACATAGGTGACTGTTGGTCCACTTGCCAGAGGTGGACAATCGTTTGAACCATCTCCAAGACTCATATTTATTAAAACACCCAGATACCCATGAGGATCTAAGACTGTAGAGAAGGGACCACTGGGAGTGTGGCTGAGTCAGCGCTGGAACCAGCCAATGACACTGGCCAGATGGCAAGATGCATAGCAGTGGCCATGGCCAGAGAAGGCAGACAGTCAAGATCTTGGCTCTACCACTAACTGGCCAGGTGAAAGAAAAGATGTCTTAGTATTACAAAGACTGGAGCAGAGAGAGTCCCCAAATCTCCTCTCCTAGAAAAGAGCTTAGACCAATTCACTAAAATCCAACGAAGTCTGCCCCACATTATAGGATGAACAACTTTCTGAAAAAGGCAGGGTAGCGAGGACTTAACTGGGGTGGGTATGAGGAGTCCTCAAGTTAGCAGTTTGGGCTGGCAGGGACAGATCTGGGCTGCTGCACAGAGGCCCCCTGGGTGTCCAGACAGAGCAGACTATACCTTATGACCAGTTCTCCCTCCCGCTCCATTACTCACCCCTGTAACGAGGTTCAGACACAGGGGTTCCTCTCTCTGCCTGAGTCTCTTTCATCTCCTGGGCAGCAGGTGAGTGGTGGTGGGCAGGGCTGGGCCTGGGAACCTGGAACGTGGCTCTTTTTAGTAACTGCTCATTCTCTTTGGCTAGAGGGGGCAAGCGTCAAAAATAAAAGCTAGTTGGGTCGGGTACATATATGTCTGAGCACAATTCTCGTTAGGACAAAACATTCAGAGGGATTTCTTCAAATCTCAGCACTTCTCCACTCAAGCCCCTGCAAAGCCCCTCATCTCACTCGGAATCAAAGCCAAAGCCCCAACCTTGAAGATCCTCCATGGCCTCACTTCTTCTTCCTCTCTGGTCTCACCTCCTTTTCTCCTGCCCAACCCGCAGCTCCAGGCACCTGCTATAATGTGCCAAACACTCTCCTGCCTCAGGGCCTTTGCATGTGCAACTCACTTCTTCACTTCCTTCAAACTTATACTCACATGTCAGCATCTCAGGGATATTGGCCACCATCTAATTCATATCTCTTTGCCTTGCTTTTTTTCTCCCTAGCACGTGCCATAATCTAACCCATATGTGGTTTACTTATCTTGTTTGTTGTCTGTGCCCCCATGGAATGTAAGTTGTATTAAGGGAAGGGGTTTTTGTTTTGTTCCCTGTTGTATTGAATGAATGCTTAGAGAAGCCTAGATGTCCTTTACTGGAAAAACTTTCATAACATCATCCTTGCCAATCCCCTGTCTTAGCCAAAGCAGTGTTATTTTATTTTCCTTAGTTGGAATGCCTTCCCAGGATACAGCTTCTCTACTTTCTATTGTAAAGCAGTTCAAGAATTTAAGATGATCTCTTAGTCTAACCATACTCCCTTCTGTTGTAATTCAAAGCCATTTCTTCACATTTAGTCCTTTGGTGGTGATGAAGAGAATTAATTAGACCCAGATTAAAGAAGCCCACCCTCATAAGCACTACAGAAGCTTGTCTCTAGGCAGAAGGCCCAGGTAGTGGAAGGACTCTGGGCCATCATTCCCAACCAGAAATAGGTTAAGTCAGAGTGGGGATTACCCAGTTGGAGGTTGGCAGGGTGAGGGGCCATTTGGCCAGTGGATCTTTAAGGTTTTCAAGTGATATTCAGAGGTCCCAAAGGGGGCTGGTCCTGCTGCAGGCTTGGGAATGGTCCCTGAGGGTTATTAGGAGGGGAGAGGACAGCGAGCTAGTTACCCATGTGCCTGCTGAGCAGGTAGTTGATGGTTGCGAGGAGGCAGGTCTGTAAGATGACAGACACGACTGCAATCACTAAGCCATGCCAGAGCATAAGGTGTCTGTTGGGGAAGGAAAGGGGTCAGAGTTAGAGGTTGCAGAGGTGCCAATACAGCTGCAAACCAGCCAGAGGGAGCCAATTGGGTGTTGCTGTGTGTCTCAGGGCAGGTCCCTTTGCCTCTCTGGATAGTGAGGCATGGGGAGCCAAGGAGGGTGCCACGTGCATGCTTGGAAGCCAGCCACACTAATTAGCCTGACTGGAACCACACTCACTCTGACAGCATGATGAGCTTCTTACAGGGCAGCCACAGGTCATGAGTGGGGCTCAGGCTCTCCCCTGTTCTGCAGGAAGAGGAACCACCCTGGGCGTCTTGTCTCCAAATGGCACCACCAGCAGGACTGCCCTAGAGATCTGGAGGAGGCAAGGCAGCTGGTCAGGACTCCTGTCCTCTACACCCAGATTCCCCTTGGGCAAGCTTGGCTGCTTGGAGGTCATTTGCTCTCCTCTCCCCAGATGTCAGCTTTTGAATCTACAGAGTAGACAGTAGCAGCCAGCACTGAGCCCCTGGCACACACGCTATCCTGCCCAATTCACTCTTATGACCTGGGTATCATTACCTTCCTTTTGTAACGAGCACTGTGAGGCCCAGAGAGCTGAGGGACATGTCTGAGGTTGCACAGCTAGCAAGTGGCCAGGCCTGGATTTGAGCTCTAAGTCTATGCCTACATGCTCAACCATTCCTCTCTGTTCCCAGAGAGCCTTAACCTGCTGCTGGCAGCACAAAGGGGTCCAACTAGAGCAAGCACCCTGGGGGAGAGTCTTTGAAGAAGTCTAAACCTTAAACACACACACACACACACACACACACACACACACACACACACACACACACACACCCTTACGTGGTGTCATTGAACTTTGGAACCACAACTGTGGCTGTTATTACACTCTTACGAATATATTTAATTAAAAAATTAGCTTATGAACTTCATCAACATGTGCCTGAATGTGGATTTACTGTAAGACAAAGACATTTCAAAGCCTTAGAAACGATATTTACGAAGCACTGAAATGGGGCTGCACCGCCGCCCCGCAGTCCTGGTGCAGACTGTGAACCTTCAAAAAGCTTTTACGGCCATTAAGGCTTATTTTCCCAGGCAGGGTTTCTAAGTGCTAAGGGCAGTGTGGAAAGCCCTGAAATTTTTGTTTTCATTTGTAGTTCTCACACAGGGGCATTCTAAGATCAAAATTTGGACCAAGAATCCGGAGAGAGAAAAGGCAGTGATGAGGCAAGAGGGTGCTGGGTTTGCCACCACCGCCTCTCCAGGGCTGTGGGTGTTTGCTGGCTGGAAGTCTCCAGAGAAAAAAATACCATCTCCCCCACACCCTTCACAGACCATCAAGCCAGTCCTCGGAATGACTTTTCTGTGGAAGGTCAAAAGTTGGGAGCAAACAGGCCCAATTTATTCATCACAATTACCAAAGCGCCCTCTCTTCTACATAATAAATTATAAACACTTCTCCCAAAGGAACTTAACTGTCTGCCCTTTGTTTTCAAGTTACATGAGCAAAGTACACCTGACATTATCACTCCCAAAGAGTTCTATCTAGTTTGATTTATAAAAATAGATTCAGGATCCAGACATGTTTATTCTGTTTAGATTCAGCATGTGAGATGGGCAGGGTGGGGGGACGAAATGTGGAAATGTTCTAGATGGGAGAATTCCCTTTTCTGTCTGTGTCAGAGTCCCCCCTCTGCTTGTCCCAGCACCCACCACTGCAGGGCCGAGAAGCATCAGAAAGTGAGCACCAGGGCTTCTCCAGAGCCTTCTGCGGGAGAGCTGCCATTAGCTCACTACAGGGTTGGTAAGAAGGGGTTGCAGGGAGGACACTGACTCAGATGGCAGGTGGCAGGCGACAAAGCACTCCAGAAAGTTACCTCCCCGAAGTCCGTAGACAAATGAATAGGAAATCCAATTTTTTCCAATGATCAGCAAACTCCAGAAAGAAAGCTTAAAGTGGCTGTGCACTAAATGAAAACTGCAGAGTCAAGATGCTGGAAAGAAAACACAAAAATGATCAAGATGAAGGAAGAAAGGTATTTTTCAGGAAAAACATGATCTTGAAGGATTTGGTGACTCGATTGGAAGAAAGGCATAGATATGTTTTAGTACAGATACTGACTTCCCAAGCAAATTTCAGTGCCAGACGGACTGATTTCTGGGGCAGCTGCAAAAGGAAGATTGGACTTGACCGGGAGAGATTTGTGGTGTCACAAAAGACATAAAAGTCATGGAATAAAGCTAGAAGCTAGGCTGATGTGTCTGTGAAATCAACAAGATTCAATTTTTAAGGTGCTCTAGTGCTTTAGTATTGATTGCTTCATGTTGAATGTCTCATTTGTCTTTAATCACAGAAATTTTTCTCCCTCTCCCATGGAAGGGCTGTGTTCTGACACAGCTCTCAAAGTTTTAATTTTTAAGGCTCCCGTCCCCCTTTATTTATTTAAAATTAAACAATGACTACATATTTGTAGTAAAAGAACTACAAATAAAAATACACAAAGCATTTTATAAAATTACCCCAAATTTTATTCCATAAAACCGTCTTTACATTTTTATAAACATACTTGGTATTTGTGTGTAAATATATGTACACACATATACAATCTTTTAAAAACACGGGATCATACTAATTAGCAGTTTTTCCTCTTCACCAAATGTATCATAAACATGTTTTGAGATTAGAAAATCCTTCATTGAAAGCCCCAATTTGGGGCCCCACAGGCCCAATTTGGTGCCTAGATGATTTTGTTTGACGATGTGCTTTGAAGATTCAGGGGTTTGGATGCAGTAAGAAGGGACTTGTGCTCTTTAATCCCTAGCTTATCCTTGAAGCCAGCTGAGTTTGCCACCCTTGATTTTTATAACATCATTTTAAATTTCTGCTATTCCACTTTATCAGTGTCTCTTAACAGTCTCTGACATTTGGAGACAGTCCTTTGTTGCCTAGAACTGTTTTGCACACTGCTGGACATTTATCATCTTGGGAAATGACCAATGAAACAACCAAAATGATTAAACATAACCCCACACATTTCAAATGCCCCCAAAGGCAGGCGCTGTTGCCTCTAGTTGAGAATCACTGCATTAAACAAACGTTCTATTATGTTAGAACCGATATCTTATTTTGGCTCCTTATACAAAACCAGGTTGCCTGCATTTCCTTTCATCATTTTAATATATTATGAACATCTTACTAGCCGATAACACATAGTCCCTGTGTCAATATATAGCATAAAAGTCAAACAGGCCCTTCTGGATATAAACTATTGAACTTCTCAGTGCCTCAGTTTCTGTACCTTTAATATGGGGAGAACGATAGTATCTGCCTCAGAGTTCTTGTGTGGGCTCTGTGAGTTATACTGTTTGTAAAGAACTTTATATGACAGTCATGTGGGAAAAACTCAATAATTATTAGGTATTATTCAACCGTAAAACACTTCACCAAGATGGCGACTAGAGTAGAGCTATTAAAATTGGGTTGGTCTATTTTAGGTAACTTAGCTATTCGCTTTGAGTATAGTTTGGAGATAAGATCTAGGACAGGATGAGGTATGAAAATTATGACAGATGTCATTATTTCAGTGGCTAATGGCCCCTAACCACCATGAGCAGGTTGCTCTTTGGGATCTAATTGCAGATTGCTGATCAGACAGTTGGCAGAAACATCTGCTCCTTTGCGCACACACACACACACACACACACACACACATACCAAACAACGGGGAAATGAGCGATTTAAGGTAACGATGTTGTAAAAACGCGCCTGGATCATGTGAGACTTTGGAATGCCTTGTTCCATCATCAAGATGAGGACTGTCCTGCCCTCTTTCACGTTGCTAAGTTTTGACGCCCAGCCCACACGAACATGGTGCCCTGTCAGGAGCCTCAAAAGCACACTTCAGCTGAGTGCTAAGAGCATTTCTTCTGTTCACTTCAGACCTGGGTGGAAATCCTGAGACACCCCCCGCCCCCCCACCAGGCTGGATTCCATTTTATCATTTCCCCTTTTACTGATAAAGGAGCTCTCATAACTTTAGAGGAGGTGAAAAAATAAAGACACACCTTTTCCTGCCTGATGCCATGCTTTCTTTGGATGGATTCATTTTAGAAAGAGTGATTTAAAACAAGAGCACAGTAGACGAGCTATATGAAAACCATATAGATTGACGTGATCGCAATCAATATTGTTAAGCTGACTTCAGCAATCTTTTAAAGTTAAGTAGCTTTAAACTTTTTTAAAGCTTTAAAAAAGATGTCTTTGCAACCTTCATTAATGTATTGTTTTTATAATTAATAATTTGAGCAAAACATAGCTGTTTGGGATAGTGCAAAAAGAACGAGACAGGAAGACGAGAGCCTGACGCCTCCTCCTGGCGCTGTCACTTGCTAACTGTGTGACCTGGGATGGGTAGAAGTTCTTTCTAGGCCCCGCTGACTTAAGGGGTTCGGCAAAGTTCTCCTAAGACTCTTTCTAGCCCTAAGCATTCTGTTCTTTAAAGACTAGGGTAGAGGAAGGAGAAAAGGAAGCAAAGGTGGATGGAAATGAAATATTTTAAAAGAAAAAAAATCTTTGTTTCCATTTTATATCACCCAACCTCCTCCACATTTCTAGACTTCTCTCTCCTACTTTAATACGCAGTTTTGAATAATCAAGAAAAGGAGGAAACATAAATAAACCAAACTAATAATGAATATAACCACAGAAACAGGAGATCAAAAATTGTGAGACTACTAAGTGGTTTTTTTTTAATGAAACCTCAGTGAAATTAATGAATTGCTAAAAAACTATAAATTAGCAAATATGATTCCAAATACGAAAACTTAAACAGACCAAAACCAAAACAAAATAACAAGAAGGAAGATAGGGAAGCAGTTTGGGAACTCGCCGCTGAAGACAGAGAACTTGGAGTCAGACAGCTTGGGCTCACATCCCAGCGCATTCCCTGCAGGAGCGTGGTCTAGCTATTTACCCTCTCAAAGCCTCAGTTTTCTTATCTCGAAAATGGGAACAATAATAACTAATTCTCAGGATTAGATAAGATGAATATCAATGACACCTAACCTACTTCTGAGGATGAAATAAGATCAGGTATGTGAAGTAGTTATTATAGCCTTTGTCACATAGTAATAAGCATCTAATAAATGACAGCTATTATTATTTAGAAATTAAAAGCATTATCAGAATTACCTACTAAAAATCTGTGTCCAAATAGTTTTATAAATGAGTTATTTGAAACTTTTAAGGAGCACATAATTCTTATGCTATGTAAGCAGTTCCAGGGCACAGAAAAAGATACACACTCTCTAGGCTCATCTCAGTTATGAATACAGAGGTAAATATTGATAATATCAAAAAGTCACTCCAGGGACTCCAGGAAATCAATTATTACAATAATGGGAACACATGTTGAGTATTTAAGGTATGCTTTTATCCTCTTGCTCTACAAAAATAGGCATTATCACCATTTCCTAGACAAGGACACCAAGGCTTGGTTGGAGAGGTTGAGCAACTTACCTTGATCCCCTGGTTGAAAGAGTCAAGTTTCATCTGACTCAAAAGCCTGACTCTGAATCATTACAAGGAACCGCCTTTCACATAATATAAATACAGCATCAATAAATCAAAATTTTAAAATAGCGATCTTGGTAAATGCCAAAAGCATTTGATAAAATTAAATACTCATTTGTTATTTTTAAGTTAGTAAAATAAAAATATGAAGCTTATTTCTTAATCTAATAAAGAATATCCCTTCTATAACAATAATCAACATCTTACCAAAAGGTAAAATATTTTAACAGTTATTTGAGAACAATTTTTTAAAAGTTAGTCCTGGAAATTCTAATTCCTGGAAATTGGAAGCTCCTCCAACCTTCAACCTATAATAATAATAAGAATATTGACTATTGAGCATATTCTATGTGGCAGACACTTTTACATATATTAACTCATCTGATTTTCACAACCACCATAGAAAGTAGGAACTATTATTATTTGCATTTTATACAGGACAAAACTAAGACACAGAGAAGTTAGGTAACTTGCTCAAGATAACGAGAAGAGTTATTGGGGCTTTGTGCCCAGGAAGGCTGGTGATGGAGTCTGAGCTAATAACTGATGCATAAAAGAAATGAAAGTATAGTTTGGGGCAAGGAGAAGTCAAATTCGTCTTTATTTGCAAAAGATGTGATTTTATACCTAGAAGCTCCAAAAGAATCAAATGAAAAAACTACGGAAATTAATGACACTGCTCAGGAAAGCCCTGTGGGCATGATAAATATTTTAAAATTACTCGCCATTCTTTCTATTATTCTAGCAATAGCCAGTTAGAAAATGGAATTGGAAGGAGGGGAAACCATGAGCCTTTGCAACCATCACAATAGATATATCTAAGGATAATTTTAATTATAAGAAAGTTATTTTGAAGAAAATAATGAGAATATCCTGAGCAATCTAAAAGGCAAACTAATAGAAAGACATATGGTGTTTCAGATTGGGAAGCTGGAAGACTAAAAAAAACAATTGATTTGTTGGTTCAATTTAATTCCAATCAAAATTATAGTGAGAATTTTTGATAATTTAAAATTGTTCTAAAATGTATCTGGGAAAAAATAATAACAATCAATAAGAGCTAAAACATGTTTGAAAAGAAATTGTGACGAGCTGGGTTCCTAACTACCACTTTATAAGAGTAGCATAGATTTGAAAATAATATGCCAGTATGTATAATAAATACATAGTAAGAGTGGTTCACAAAGCAGAGGGAGGAAAGCTAAGGGTTATTTTAAAAATGTTTCACATAAGATAACGAATTAGCTACCTATAAGGAAAGAGAAAACAACTTAGATCCAGATATAACAAAATAAATTTCAAACGGATTAAGGAAGTAAATATTTTTAAATCGAGACATTAAAATTAGAAGGAAATCGGATTGGCTATTTACATATTCAATATTTATTAAATCCCCAGATGGAAGAAAAGTTTCTTAGCCTATATGCAATGAAGAAAATCATAAAGCAATACAAGAAAAATAGATATATTTGGCTCTAAAATATTAAAACTTAATATGTTAAAATGAAATTTAAAGGCAAACAGAAAAGAAAACTAGAACAAGCATGTGCAACACATAATTTTAAAATATTTTACATCTTTTTTTTGTTACAAAAATTGTTAAGAAAAACCCTAGCAGCCTCAAATGTCTAATAATAAATCGTTAAAAGTTGTGGAACAGACAAGTCACAAACAATCTGGAAAAGAACCAAAGCTATTATTGCAAGGTAGCCGAACCCACTGTTGATTATAAAAGTGAAAAACGGGAAACAATCTAATTGAAAAACAAAAATTAAATAAATTAGGGTTCAGATATTAAATAGAATGTTATGCAGACATTTAAAATTATGTTTAGGAATATTTAATCTAAGGAAGAAGTACAATACAATTATATTTAGCTACATACAATATAATCACAACTCAAAAAAGTAAGCATAAAAAGAATGAAAATTTATAAAAAAAGAAAACTCTGTGTCATTAAATATTTTTGTCTCTCATATTACTTTAGTAATAACACCCCTTCAATTCACCTAATTTAGTTCACCAAATCCAGAATAGTTCATTGACAATTTTGCATAGCAAATATAGATTTATTATTCATAAATATAAATTTATACAAATTAGAGATTTTATTTAAATGTACTTTGTTCAAAAAAAGGAAATGGAAGAAAATATACCAAAATGTTAACAAAACTGGGATTGCGGACAATGTCTTATTGAGTGCTTTATACTATCTGTTATTGCCAAAGTTTTGTGCAATTAACATGTATCTTTTTTCCAATCAAAAAATAATATTTTATTTATTTATTTATTTATTTTATTGTTTTAAAAATTAAAGTTTACTGGGGTGACAACTGTTTCAAAAAAATAGTATTTCAAAAGTATTGACACAAGCCCATAAATTCTGAGTGGCTTAAATTAGCATGATACCAAATTTATTTATATAAAAAAATCTATTTACATCTAAATGTCTCACCATGTTAACAGAACATTGAGATAATCAGCTAAATGTCTGCATTTCAATCAATCAGATATTCGAGTGGTCTATGTGCATGGTCTGCGTGAAATATTCTGATGGCCATGAAGAAGGAGAACACACCATTTGAACTTTCAAGAGTTCATGTTGTATTTGGAAAATCAAAACATTAATATGTGAAAAATCAAAAAGCGGAAGAGATGCCACAAATGAAGCATGAACTGTCAGAAGTGGTATTAATGATACAAACTATTTCAGAGGAAAACAGAGATCCCCACGCAACAGAATATTCAGAAAGGAGTCACTGAGAAGGAATTATTTGAAGAACAGGCAATGGATGGAGGGAGAGTGGAGGGAATAGCAGTCCCGCCTAAGGTACCTGCCAACCCTGGCTGTAGGGCACAGCTTTAGTGGAACTGATTGTCTTCCACAAAGTTCGATACAGATATTGCATCGTATGATGAAATACGATAATGTGGGAGAAAGCTGAGTACATGCCAGGCAACCTCACAAGTATGCTCAGGAAAATGGAGAGGAGCTGGGACTTAGTGGCCAGATCGACTGGGCTTGGAATTTCAGCTCTGGCCTTCCTAGGTGGGAGTTGCTTCTCTCTCCAGGCCTCAGAGTTTTATCTAAATAATGGGGATGGCACTTGTTTCATTTTTTTAAATCACACGTGTTGTGTGCTTACTATGTGCCAGCATCGTGCAAAACATTTTGCATAAATTATCTTACTTAATCCTCAGAATAACAACCTTAGAGCTGGATACTATTGTCCCCATTTGACATATGAGAAAACCAGGCTCTAGTACGCCGTGGAGGAGACAGAATCCAAACCCAGGCTGTTGGGGCCAGAGCCTTCACCACACTGCACACAGTATTTAAGAAGCTTAGTCAAGCGCCTGGCATGTTGACCGTTGAGCAACACAGGTTTGATCTTAAGTGCAGGTCCACTTAACACGAATTCTTTCAATAAATTCGGTAAATGTATTTTCTCTTCCTTATGATTTTCTTACTAACATTTTCTTTTCCCTAGCTTACTTTATTATAAGAATACAGTATGTAATACAAATAGCATACCAAATATGTGTTGGTCGACTGTTTATGTTATTGGTAAGGTTCGGTCAACAGGAGGCTATTAGTAGTTAAATTTGCGAGGAGTTAAAAGGTATACTTGGATTTTCCACTGCTCAGGGGGTCAGCGCCCTTAAACCCCATGTTGCTCAAGGATCAACTGTACAAGTGCTCAACAAGGGGTGACCCTCAGACCACAACAGAGAATTCAACCCAAAATTGGCATAACTCTTAATATATAAATGCACCTATTTCCATAGGGCACTGTAAAAAACAACTGGGTTCACTCATGATTTTCATTTGCAATGTACAAAACCATACAGCTCTGGAAGTCCTCGGTCCCAAAGAGTCCCTGCCCGTATGACTGTCACTGTGACTACCCACCAGGGGACAGAAAAGATAAAAATATTCAGCCGTGAGAAGGGAGGAGTGGGGGCTTCCCAATACCATGGGGAAGGGGATCACAGAAGGTTATGGCATCACTTTTGTCCTGGGTATCAGAAAAATCATCTCTGGATTCCTTTCAGTGTTGGTCACCATGGCAGGGGCCTCACCCCAGCTGGCTGGGACACAGCTGGAAGAGTATGAAATGAGAATCTAGATCAACATTCCAGCTCGACAACTTTACAAAATTCAGCAACCTTGGGCATGTCACTTCCTCTTTCTGAGCCTGTTCCCCTGTCTACAAACTGAGGGGGATGGGCTAAATAGATCTAATTTCTGACATTTTGTTATTCTAGAACTCCATCCACTTAAAAATGGACATAAAGGATGAGGCTCAAATTAACCAGAAATAGCAACTTTGATTTTCAACTAGATAGGCTTCGTCTCTGGTAATACATATTTCTATGTGCACGCACTGACAATTTTTTAGGAGGAAAACCAGTTATCCAAAATTTCTAATTGGTAATTTTGGGAAAAGCAGTTTTGCAAGAAAGTAGTAGAGATGAATGTACCTTGGTAATTCTGGGGACAGCATTTTTACAAGCAATTACTTGAAATGAATGCAACTTAAATGCAACTTAATTCCAAGACAAAATCAGCAAGTATACAAAGAATTGCCAGCAGCTCAAGCAGTACTCATGGATTCATTTTGCTAGCCCCCACAAAGCCGTAGGTGAATTGGAAGGTCCAAATTGTTCTCCGCTTCATAGACTGCCCAACTAAATTGTGGAGAATCTAAGCACTTTCTACAGGTTATGCTCAGTTTGTGAGCGCTTTGGTAGCTGGGACCAGGTCTTGTCCATATTTTACACTCCACAATTCCTGGCACAATACTTAGAGACAATGTGTGGGGGAAAGAGTTTCCTAGCATTCTGTACACACTGCAGTTCAATCAATATTATTAAATATTGTTTAACCTTAGAGGAGCCACTTAATGTCCCTGAGCCTCAGTTTCCTCCTCTGGTCCCTACCAGTTACTCAGCCAGTTCTACTCGGGTAGAGTTGCCAAAGCTCACACAACAAGGTCAATACTCAGACCAAGAAGTAGGGTCACGTCTTCCTTGAGTGTCTCGTCTACACTTCGGAGTACCTTACCTTAGGATCTCCAGGCTGCAGAGAGGGTGCAGGCAGGCCTGTTCTGTGCTCGAGTTCTCCAGAAGGGTTCCCTTTCACTGTTTGACTTCAGTCAAGTCACTAAACAGCTTTGTGCCTCAGTTTCCTTCACTGTAAAGAGCAGCTGCCAATGGCACCTACATTTCCAGGATTGTTGTGAGGAGTCAATGGATTTATCTATGTAAAGCTCTTAGAATAGTTCCTGGCACATAGTAAGCTCTGAATAGAGGTCAGCCATTATCGTTCGCTGTTGTTGCTGGCTTTTTCTTGCCCAGATGTTTGCATGGCTTTTCTCTCTAACAGCAATCATTTTCTGTCTCCCATTCATAACATTTTTAAACTGCCAGGCTGGCCCCCTTCCCTACACACATACCAGTCCTTTGCAGCTCAGAATAAATCTTAAGGAAAAAAAAACACCTGCAGAGGAGATATTCTCAGGGATCTAGTTCCCAGTTAAAAGGAATCATTAATTAATTGCTACTATTGATGAAGCATTGTACTGGGCACTACATGTGCACTGTCTGCAATCTTCACAGCAACACTGTCAGCTGGGTGGTTTTATGACCATTTTACAGACGAGGAAACTGAGACCTGCAACAGTTTAGCAGAGTTCTTTGGATCTGTTCTGTCTGGATCCAAAGTCCATGCACCTTCTAGCCAGAACCCTGATGGCTGCTGCTGCTGCTACTGCAGACAGATATCCAGTCTCAAGAGCAGGAGATTAATGTCATAAAGTGCAAACAGCCAAATCTTGGGCTCACTCTAGGCCGAGTGCAATTGAATTCCATACCCTACAATTCCAGCACACAAACAGAAACTCCCCTCTGAAATGTCTACACATATATATTCACAAACAGACACACATTCCTCAAACGTTTAAAATCCTACCTACCCGGACAATACTTACCCCTGGGACCATGAGCAAGGTCTGATCTCACCCTGTGTTTCAGCAATGTCCTGGCGGAAACATCTCCCCCATCACCCACTAGCCCCACCCAAAAGCTTCTCAGTCACTGGTGGTCAGTCACAAATGTTTCATCATTTCCAGCAGGATGGGGGCTGCTGCTCAGAAGATAATAATCTAGCTTAGTTGAGTAGAGCAGGGTGAAGTCACAGATAACACCTCCTCTTTCAGCAGGGCCCTATCCTGCTCCCCCAATGCAGGCAGTTTACCTAGATGGAGGAGATTAGTAGTCTCTTTCTCTCCATACGAGCTCTTATTTAAATACCACAAATATGCACACCACCTGGTAGAGTGGAAAGAACACGGGAGAAGGAGTCAAGAGGCCTGGGTTCAAGTCCTAGCTCTGGCACAAACTTGCTGCGTGAGCTCAGACAAATCACTTACCCATCAAGGCACTCATGTCCTTCCTCTATAAAATGAAGAAGTACGACTTTTAGGTATTAGCAAAGATCCTTTCCAACTTGGCCCATCTCTGAATCGGTGTGATGTGGCCAGGACATATGGCAACTGATGAGGATCAATTTTCAAAGACAACCTCTTTGCCATTAAACGTTGAATGAGGCCAAGCTGAGATGGCTATTGCAGTTTGTATGATAGGCAGTGCCAGGAAGGTGAATTGCAGACCTTCTGGGGGTCTTAAGCTGAACCCCCAAGATCTACATTTGGGCATGAACAAGAATGGAAGAAGGATACAATTATCTTGATATAAAACAAAGAGAGTAGAATTTTATAGGCCTCTGTGATGTCACCTCCCTGCTCAGGAAAAGTTATCCAATGTAGAATAATGGCTTCGGAGTCAGATATATTTGGATTTGAATCCTGGCTCTGCTACTTGGTAGCGGGGTGACTTGGGAAAAATTACCTAACCTCTCTGAACCTCATTTGTTTCATCTGGAAAGTCAGCTTAATAATAAATACCTAATTTTAAAAAAGTCTCAGGCCAGCCGAGTGGCTTAGTTGGTTAAGAGCTGTTCAGGAGTGTGAGCTCTGAGCAACAGGGTCACCAGTTCGATTCCCACATGGGTCAGCGAGCTGCCCCCGAGCTGAGCTGCCAACAGGTGGCAGGATGGCTCAGCTGGTGAGAGCATGTGCTCCTAACAACAAGGTTGCCTGTTCGAGATGGTGGGCTATGCCTGCCGTCAACTAAAGATTGAACCCGGCACCTTGAGCTGAGCTGCCACCTGGGTGGCTCAGGGGATAGAGCATCGCTCTTAACAACAAGGTTGCCGGTTCAACTCCCACATGGGATGGTGGCTATGCCCGCCCACAACTAATTGAACACAGCACCTTGAGCGGAGCGGTGTGATTGGACTTGGAGCTGAACTTGCTGCTCCCTCCACAACTAAGATAGAAGGACAACATCTTGGCTGTTCCCCTCCCCAATTCCCCAACACTGTTCCCCTCCCCCAATTCTCCAATAAAATCTTTTTTTAAAAAGCCTCATAAGTTTATTTAAAGTTAAATAACATAAACAGGCAAAGCACTTAACAGAGGTCCTTTTATGATAAAACAACCAATGGTAGCTATTCACTTTTATTTTCTAAATGAAAGTTAGAAAGCCACCCTTTGGCTGAGTTCCTTTCAGTGTTTTCAGACCCTCAATGTAGCATCAGCTCACTGTGGAAATATATCTGTAGGGGCAGTTTTTCTTCCTTTGAATAGCTTCTGTTAAGAACATGAAGCCCCAGGGCCGGCCGAGTGGCGCGATGGTTAAGAACTGGNGCAACTTGCTTCTAAGATGGCATCAGTCACATCAAGCACCAGAAGCCATTTTTCCTAATAGGGGTGCAGTATAAGCCATGAGCCAGCCCCTCAGCAATGGGAGAGGGGCTCTGGAGACAGAAAGAGACCTTCAGGGATATAGATGGGAGGCTGGTTGGACACAGAGGTTTTGTCTGTTTCCAGAATGTTTGAAAGCTGTTGTGGTGGTGACACTATCCAATCAACTTCTCCTTTCTGGAACTTCAGCTTCCAGAAGATAACTTAGTAATAAGAGGACAGTTGCCCAGTGCTCTGTGGAAGTCAGCTTTACCAGGGCTGGGTAGCCTTAGAGACAGTGTGTTAATGTAACACATGAGCGGCTGCCTCGCCTTCATGCTTAGCTGGCTCCTGATCGCAGGCGAGCCAGCAACCCAGGATGCTGTTGGCTCTGGCTCTGGCAGGATCCCCAGCTCAGCATGAACACGGTCAACTGGAAAACGTCCCAACCTCATTCTGCTTGAAGTTGACAAATGAAGGAAAGTCTGCCATGTTGTGTGTGGTACGGTAGAAAGAGGACCAGGATGAGATGCCTGGAGCTCATCTTGGCTCTGCCACTAAATGGCCATATGACCTTAGATAAGTCACTTTTCTCTGAACCTAGTTTCTTTGTCTGTAAACGGAAGAGGTTGGATTGGGTGATAATAACAAGGAACATTTTGGGTGTGTGGGCTATATGCCAGGCTCTGAGCTAAGGACCTTACGAGCATTAGCTCACTCAACACTCACACCAATGCTTTCAGATACGTATCGTTTTTAAGCCCATTTTACATATGAGATAACTGAGGCATAGAGGGCTTAAGTAACTTGCATAAAGTGCCATAGATAGGATTCAAACCCAGGTTTGGCTGACTTTAAAGGTGGTGATCTGTATTGGATGACCTCTAGGGTCTGACATTGAAGAATTTCTTCCTGGAAGAGAAAGAAAGAGAGAGGGAGTGAGAGGAAGGAAGAACCGGGAAGAAGAGGAGAGAGAACAATTTCCTGCATGGTGGAAAATTTGAGGCCTTTTTATTGTAAGAGAAGGGTGTGTGTAGGGTGGAGTGTGGTGGTATGGAGCTGTGAGAGGAGAAATCCTGTCGATGCTTATCTTTTGCAAATATTTTCTAATTTGCCTTCGAGGATCAGCAAGGATCATTATTGTATTGCTGGCAGTGTAAAAATCCCCCATGCACCTCTGTGCTAGTTACCTATCACCCAGACACTGGATTATGAAAAAGAAAAATTTAAGGTGATCGAAGTATTTGTTTATTGCTAAAAGAGTATAACTGGCACAAATGCAAACTTTTCCCATATGGCTTGATCTGCTTTGGTTTGGCAAACCCTCTAGTTTTCATGCAACTGGAAATAAGAAGGACCTAATGTCCCCAGAATCTCGCTGCATCAAGAATTCAGTTATTGGGGCCGGCCGAGTGGCGCATTGGTTAAGAACTGGCTTGGGATGCCAAAGGGCCCCGGTTCGGATCCCACATGTGGGCCAGTGACACTG